CCGTCACATTATAACGCCCCCACGGCTGAAAGGGCGAGCATGTTTGGTGTGACGGGGATTCGAAGTCGTGTATGTAGCTTTCTATCGTGATTTGGTTAACTTTATTTATGCGAAATATTTACAAGAATAAAACTATGCAAATCAGGGGCGTAGCCATTACTATGGAGTATGTGGTGTGCGTGTGTGTTTTCTTGGGGGGGGGGGGTATTTTTCCAAAAATAATTTTGATATTTTTTTCTATTTAAAGAATTTAAGTGACTTACTTAAAAGTCAAGTATTTATAAAAAAAAAAAAGACTTCTTTAAAATATTAGGATGGTTGTCGACCCCCTTCCTCTCGGCTACTCCCCTGTAAATAATGATTTAGACCCTCAAATAATTCACGAATACAATGAAAAATTCCAATGATCTTAATTATGACTAAATAAAAAAATTTATGAACATATCAGTTAATCGTTTCACGAATCATTGGACCTATTTAACACAAAACGAAATAAGATTTTGTTAATTTTTACTCTGTTTTTTCCAGCAAAAGACTTGAACAATAATCCAGGAAATAAGTGGAAATAGCCAGTTTTGGCACGGGTTGGTCCGTAGAGAGTGAAAAGGGGTACTATTGCATCCCCCCGACCAAAAGGCTTATCTCTCGATACCTCAAATTCACGTGCAATTGTGTCGATTATCACATTTTTCGTGTAATTTTGATTCTTCTTGTTTCTGTATATGCCGAAAACTATACTTTTATTGTTGCCCTTCCTTTTGTTTCGTTTTCCACCTAACGTAATTTCTCGTTTTCGTGTTAGCGCTTTGACTTGCTGGCAGACAACACTAGCGTACTACCGCGAAGAGGTATGAAAGTGGGTGAGTCTTCGAAGTTTGATTGTAGAGTAATTAGAATGACTGATAATTTAAATATCAGTGATGAGGAGAAGGATTACAAATCACCTGAGTAAAAGGATGAAAAAAGGAATTTGTAGAGTGGTCAGAATATTTCGAATAATATTCTTTCAAACTACGCTTCTAAATTTCTAGTGTATTGTTATAACGGTAAAAAAGTGTTTCATGCTAAGTTTCAGAATGTAAAGTTATCATATTTAGCATATTCTAGACAGTATTATGAAAACAACAACAAATTATAACTCACACCGTGAAAAATTATTTTCTTTTTCAAGTTAACAGAAATGAAGTGATATACAGTTGTTTACCTTCTTAAATTGCTTCCGAAGGTTTTATTTCTCTCCCAAAAATCCTACGGAAACACGCCCGTGGACTATAGTGGGACCTCAGGCCTAAAATGTAAAACGTCTCCACCCCTTTCCTCATGCAAATGATTAATGGTAGATTCATATTACTCCTAACTGACTGGCATTTTCAATTATCATTCAGTAAGGTATTTCCAGTGCTTCTAATAATTCGGGGCTCGATTTCCCGCGGTGGATAGAGTGCAGATAGCTCACTGTGTCGATATGCGCTAAGAAAACACCATCATCGTTCCAAAAAGTCTGTCCTCGAATCTACTCATTTCCAGCTTGAAAATAAAGAAATTAACAAATACTAGAGTTCTGGAGTAAATAATTAAAACAAACTTAACTAAAAGATTTATGTTTACTTCTACTGTATTTATGAAAGACCGAAACAACTTTCAATTGATTTGTGTTGGAGTATGATAGAGATTTGACGTAATATCTTAGAAAGTTCAATTATTTTTTATATTTACGAAGCATAAAAAAGGACTAATGAAAACGTTAATATAATACAATAAACCCAGAAATTAAGAATGCATAAATTAGTTCGAATTTATTAATATCAATGGTATTTACCTTTGCTTTCTAGTATCTGCAGGCTTCAGAAATGAAACTGTGTGTTATATTTATTATTAATTTCACAGTATTGTCTCTTATCAAACATTTTGTGTAATTTATGATGTTCGATCATTTTAAAATGAGTAGATTTTATCTTAAAGTTTTATAAACATTTTTATTTTATTTTAAGGTTCAGTAATGAATTACACAGTATAATGTGCTGGCTGGAACGATAGAACGGTGGTGAAAAACCCCACCGATTCAGATCAGGCCATGAAGTGTTCAAACGCGGAAGAATTATATACAAATGAAGAAATGTTTTGTGTAATATTTCGTTTTCTGTTGTAATATGATGTGTGCCATACAGATTTTGTTACTTTACCTAGTCACACTGAAAACTAAAAATAAAGATTTTTTATTATTGAACTGTATTTCTAGTTTGATTTTTAGTTAGAAAAACACAGGGTAAACTATTTTCACCAGAAGCTGAGTGTAATCTTTCTCCATATACTAAACTTTTAACAAACAAAACATGTATTAATAAAGAGATTTGTATTTGAGGCGTCCTCTACTTATGAATCTTGCAACCTTCATCTCAATCCAACGAAAGTTTTATAATCTACATTACATCGTACTTTTCTAGAGAAATTAATGTATTTCTGTTTATTTGAATACTTTACCGTCGGATTTCATTTTCTTTTTGCAGGATTATTGCTTCAAGAAAAAATTACTGCTAACACAATTAAACTAATAGGTTTAACATTTAATTAAACCTTTTTAGTGCAACAATATAAAACAAATTATGTTTCAATAATCTTAACATCTCCACTGTAATGACACTGTTTATCTACACTTATATCTACTATTATATGAATAGAATAAAACGAATCCGGCATATACAATTAGAATATATTTTGAAGACGCTATAGTTTTTCAAAAATCGGTCCTTTTTACTACAGTATTTGAATTTGGTTTACAATTTATTTTCTTGCCATTTTTTGTGATTGTTCTACAGTACTTTTTACCACTATTTTGATATTAAAAGAATCTGTTTATCTATCTATTGTATAAGTAGCTCAAGTAGGCTATAAATTAAAACTCAAGCTTTTCCTCTGGACAAACCTCACCAATGGTTCAGAGGTAAATCTCAAGGCTTATAATCTTGAAAATCGGGTTTCGATTGTGTACTTTTGTGCTAAACTAGAAACAAACAATTTTTTTTGACAAATGTGTTATGCATTTAAATGTCTTCCATTTATATATTTAAAATGTCCAGTTTTCCAAGTCATAACTGCAGATTTAAAAATAATAATAAGAAGAACAAATCTCACTGAAAGCTACACTGCATCCCACTTTTATAGTCAAAGAAAAAACAAACTTGTGAAAGAAACTTATTTCTTATGAAATGATTATCGTCTACCAATAGAAATATATAATTGTTACAGACATTTTTTCCCTCACATTCCTTTTACTTCGTTCATTGCGGTTCTAAATCACAGGTGTGTGAAAAATATTATTTTATTTTTATCTTATTTTATCTCTTAAAAGGCACCGCCCTATAAGATTTTCGATCAATATCAGTTGAACTGGACAACGAGAGACAAAAGATTCTATGAAATTCCAGAGAAGTGTAAAAACAACACACACACATACACAAACACAGAACAAAAAAACTCATTTGCGAGTAACTTGTGTTTATAACATATTCAATTTAAAAAAAAGTAATAAGAGAGAGAGAGAGAGAGCTATTTGAATAATATAAGGAGAAAAGAGTTAGGAATTTCTACCGAAAATTCTAAGTTATGGATGTAATGATCACGAACTGTTGATAAAAGAAAGACCACATGTTATGAATGAAAATCCAAGTCTTAACAGAAATTGGAACTCATTTTCCCTTGCTTTATTCAAATCTCTCTCTCTCTCTTTTTTTTTAAATTGAATATTTCATAACACTATTCATTGTATTTTTATATTAGTGATTATACTTCAATATTATCATAGATTTGCAGAAGATGTAATTTGTGTAATTCCGAAACGTTTTTATACCAATGATGTTGTTAATATCCTATTTTAGCGTCATCTAGTAACAGGTACTTAAATGAGAAAAAATCACTGGATGTTGCACATCGTGGAATGACAGCTTAACTAAGTATGTTTTAACTTCTACATATTATAAAATTATTTCACTGAATCGTGGTCAGATATTTCTGGGTGATTCTTCTAAACAGATTTTCAGTGTCATTTTCTTTTTTCTGCATCTGAAGTACTGTACCTACATTTTAAGGGAAAAAAATCTAAGAAGCTCCTCGTATTGTTTTAGATGGAGAATGATGTTTATTAATAAAGATTGTTATAATAATAACACTCTGTTTATTAATTTAAAAAGTTAAATAATACTTTGTTTATTGTATATTATATAAAATGTGAGAAAAACAATATTTTGTAACAATGCAATAATAAATCTGATAAGAATATACACAATTTGCCGCTAAACCAAGTGAAATTAGAATAAAAATGTAGTATAAATGAAGTACTTTGAGGTCCTAATCGAGAAGTTACCGAGCTTTTATGTAATATTCAAAATCAGATAAATTAGGAGATATCTTACCATTTTTTTGAAAGTTATAAGCAAATGCTAAAATTCGAATTATATTTATAATGACTAAAAGCAAACAAAAAATTAAGGAAAAAAACAAAAACACAAAACAGCATCGAAGTATATAAATTTAATTTTATATGCTACCACCAGAGAGTGTATTATTTACGTATATATAACTACATTTGTTATATGGGTGGGTGAAGTTGTTATAACTGTAAGGCCAAGGTATGGAATGTGATTTGAATTGTGCTGGTAAATTATAATTTAGTTTTTACAGCTTACCGATGGCAATATTCAGATATGTCTAAATACAGTGTTCTTTTGTGTATTAGAATTTATTTGAATCATAATGGTGCGGTATTTGGTCTGCTTCGAAACGTACTAAATGATTAGTGTGTGACAGCGAAGTAGGCCTAGCCCGATATTTGGGCAGATGTCGAATAATATTATAGTACATATTATTATTAATAAATACATCAAAGTAATTATCTCTTTCGTGGTGCCAAATCTGTGAATAAAGCACTTAGTGAAAAACATCTAAGTATGTTAATTTATTATTACGTTTTCAGACTAGAATTATGGGAATCTCGTCGGTTTTTTTCTATCTACAACTAGTGGTAGTACTAGTTCTAATTTGTATGAGTAACATTAACTGATTAAGTTACACAACTTACACTGTTGTAGTGTAATTTCAACTGTACTGCATTTTACTCTAGCTTAGAAACTGTAAACATGGGACACTAGCATCTTTATTTGCTCATTCCATGCCGTGAAACTTGAAAGGCACTGCTTGCAACATCATGACTAAGTAATTTAATAAAAATATATTTCCATTTTAATGACTGGATCTGATAAGTATATCAATTAGTTTATTTATATTTTAAAACATTTTTGTCATTGTTGTAGCATATGGTATTTGTGTAAACTGTAATTGCTGAGCTTATAGGTGTGATTTTAAATTAACATTAGGTCCAGAAAGAATAATTAAGCATCGGATAATACGATGACATTTTTGTTAATTTTACATTTTATGTACCAAAGAGGTGATGGTGATACATGAGATAATTATTCCATAAATTACCTCTGAATTGTGATTTAGACATAACTTAAAGACTTTCTTATGATTGAATCACAAAGTTATACATTTTTTAAAATATGTTTGAAATAAAGATGATCTCATTAATACTGTTTTTACAATTTGGAGTATTATTGTGGATTTTTGTAGGAGTTGAAGAGGAAAGTATTCAATCGGCTGACTGGTATCTTATGTTTGGCAATGAATGAAATGGATGGACCTATGCGACCACCTAGAGGGACAAAGCCACCTAGAGAGAGTGTAAGCAAATTATCATAGTGAAATGATTAGATGTATGGCATTAAAATTGTGAAACTGCTATTTAATGATATTTAAACAAGTGAATAGGGAATCAAAGGAATGTATTGAGAAGTCTATTTGAAACTTTGTGAAATGTTCTTTATCATAGATGGTTTTCTTCCAGAAGTTTTTTTTTTTAAGATCACTGTCATCTGATCATTGTTCCAAAGTACGACACGTGCATTGATACAAATATTTTAACATTGTTAACATCTTACCAGATTTTTTATATTACCTACAATTTGTATAGGATTTTGAGTTGTGGTGTTGGTAAGTTATAGCAATCAGTGGTAGAGATGGTGAGCTTATTTTGTATCGTACGTGCATGATGTAGACCCATGGTGTGCAAACTGTGGGAGGAGGGTGTGTTCTCTAAGGGAGGGTTATGCAACTGTGGCTATATGAGTATATTAATTATATCTGAAAGAACAAATTTAAAAGTAAAAAAGTTTTAAAACTGTTATCCAAATATTAGTGTTATTAAGTAGTGTAGTAACAACAATTAGCACGGGAAAATAACATGTACAGTATTATACACAAATAGATCATAAGGAGTGTGTGTGTGTGTGTGAGGGTGGGTACTACGAGTTGCATGTTTAGAAAAGAGGGCACTGTAAAATAGGTTTTCAAACCACTGATGTAGACAACTCTGTTAAAGGTTCGATATTTACGTTGGTTCTTATGTGAATCACTTTATTAAGAAACTAATCCAATGTTTTATGTTTTAGCATATTTATTGTAACTTAATATCATTGCATTAAAAGGGCATTTTATTAATATTTGGATTATAATTGTTTGGAAAGATAATTTAAGAAAAAACTGATGTGTGTTTATATCTTCTAAGTTGGAAACTTAATTGTGTTTATAAAGGACTTTCTAAGTGTCTAATCTCTACATTAGGGATAATATATACATTATGAAGAATTTTTTTTATAAACAAATAAATTTACAAAATCTTTCAATTGACTAAAATATTGATTGATGACCTCAACGTGTGCGTGATTCAGATATTGAATGGCTAAATTTGAGAACTAACTTTAAAATTAAGAACATTGTATAGACATTTCAGTATATGATATCATTGCTAAAAACGAATTGTTCTTGAAAGTTTAAAAATGTTTTTGATTAACTTGGAAACAATGAAACATTTTATAAAACATATTGCTATGAACAAATTAGAAATATGTTGGTAATGGATGCAGCTCTAGTAAGCTTATGCAAATTTAACTTTTTCTGCCTGTTTGTATGGCTTTCATGGTTGGAAGTTTTCGAGAATTAAATTGAAAAAATTTAATCTATCTCATTTCTTCATTTTGACTGGTAAATGAACTCAAAACAGACTTTAATCAAGCCTTACAGGGTCCTGGAAAATAATTCATTATAACATTAGTAATGATTTTCAATACTTCATTCTTAAATTGCTAGAGTGTTTCTAAACAAGAAGATTGAAGATCACAACACAAATACACTGTATTAATTTCAAGTTTATATTTAGCTAGTTAAAAATAGTGTTTAAAATTTGTAGTGGGATAACCACAATAACCATTATGTTTTTAGTTAAGTGTCTTTATTTTAGGAAGAAAAGGTTGAGTAATCTGTGAAATACAAGTAATCATAAACCCGATTAAGATGTGTAAGTAGATTATCAATGTGTTATTTTTCAGAAATACTTAATGTTATAAGCTGATTTACCTGACAATTAAAAACCTGTAAAATTATTCAGTGGTATTAAATCATCACCTGAATGCCATTGCTGTTAGCATATTTGGCTGTAATTCCAATTCTATTTCACAAGGCATGGCAGATACAGGATATTTAAGTTAATACTAGACACTAAGTCAGTAGTAAAAAGTATTTTAAATATGCTAACCAATTTAATGTAACTATAAGTAATGATTAAATATGTCTTTGTGCACAGGATATTCATAATAAAGATATAGCAATAACTCCTTATTTTTAGAGTGGTCTTCTGATGTCAGTCATACGAGCCCTTTCTGCAAGGTATGTTCTTAATTTCTTCTGTTTAATCAACGGTGAACTAAAATTTAACTTAATATTGGTAAGAAGATAAAGCTTGTGGAATATTTCCTTCAGGTTTAATACAAGGTTAAACCTTCTTATTCTAAAATCAATCTTTTATTTGTGCTAGATTCTCCACATTATGTCAAGTTTATAATAATTGTGTGCTGTTTGGAGAGCACTTAAGGTAATGAAATTTAGTTAAAACAAGAAAAGTAAACTGATAACTTGTGAAACGTAGGCCTAATGAAGTACGATTCACCTATCAGAAGAGTTCCATCACTTTTTTAATTCCAGGATAATTTGTACAGTAAAGTCTGTTATAATAATAAACTTTCAATCTGTGTATCATGCAGAAGATAGAAATTGTTGATAATGTACTTGTGCTACAAGTTTGATTAAAATGTCTGGTTTCAGAAGATAAAATATGTATGTTTCTTCTGTTTGTAGTCAAAATAATGCTGATAGAGACCGGGAGAAAGCAAAATTGGAGAAAGAATTCAAACGTAGTGATCAAAGACTTGATGATTTAGTTGCAGGTATGTTGAAAATGCTAGTTAAACAAGAACTGAATAATTTAGTTGCAGGTTTGTTATTTGAACAAATGTGTACAGGATTGAAACATTGGTTTTTACCCCATATTGGAAAACGAATGTCGCCTGTAATTCTGAATTTGCTACATGTATCTACTTGAAATATAACAAACATTTAGTAAAGTGTGTTATAAGTTTGTAGTATGTATCTACACAAAATATAACAAACATTTTGTAACGTGTGTTGTAAGTTTGTAGTATGTATCTACTTGAAATATAACAAACATTTAGTAAAGTGTGTTATAAGTTTGTAGTATGTATCTACACAAAATATAACAAACATTTTGTAAAGTGTGTTATAAGTTTGTAGTATGTATCTACACAAAATATAACAAACATTTAGTAAAGTGTGTTATAAGTTTGTAGTACAAACTTATAACACACTTTACTAAATGTTTGTTATATTTTGTGTAGATACATAGTATGTATCTACTTGAAATATAACAAACATTTAGTAAAGTGTGTTATAAGTTTGTGGTATGTATCTACACAAAATATAACAAACATTTTGTAACGTGTGTTGTAAGTTTGTAGTATGTATCTACACAAAATATAACAAACATTTTGTAACGTGTGTTGTAAGTTTGTAGTATGTATCT